TGATATTGCCCCAACAGCATTGAATGATCAGTATTCACTGAACTTACGAACGCAGTAACTTGTGCAGTTGAGATCAAGTTAACACTACCATGTATACCCAATAGGTGTTGCTGCCATGAGATAGCTACTAAGCCCAGTCTCACAATTATCTTTCTAGATTCCATGAGAAAGCTATCTTCAATCTAACCTTCTTCTCTCTTGTATTTTCTGACACATAATGATATGTTTGCTCTATTTGCATCTGCAGCAACATGTAAGTATACATATCTACATTCAAATTCATCTTTGAAATGGAGCATTCAAATGAGTTCCCTTTTCTTAATGTTCCAGTTGAAAAATCAGTCCAGGGTTCTCTACTCAAGAAGAACAGGTTAGATAAGACAGACACTCAGAAGGGGGAGCACTCCAAAAGTTTGAAACAGCACGAGAGGAGCATACTTTGAGAGACTGAAAATAGAACACGAGGGGAGTCTGCACTCGGAACTGCTCCCTGTCTTATTCCAGTACTGAGAAAAGAGCTGATTGGTGAGTAGCAACACATTTTTCTACTATTCTAATCATAATAAATATATTTTTATAAAATTACAGTATGGTAGGTCAGCTTGTCTGAATAGTGTACACCCTACGGTATGTATGAAGTAATGAGTACACCATGTATCCCAGCCAGACATACCTCAAGATATACTACTGGCTGAGCAAGTTCTGAGTTCTGGGTTTTGGAACTTGAGCAATGGCTCAAGTGACAGTTCTGTATCTGTAACGCAGAGGGCTACATGGACAGCACATTTAGCGTCCACTTTCCTGCCCCTTCTCCATAACTCTTGATTCCCCTTACTGATCAAGAATTTATCTGTCTCAGTCTTAAATATATTCAATGAATCTGGCCCATAGCTCTTTGTAGCAAGGTGTTCCTAAGACTTACAATGGTCTGAGAGAAAAGATCCCTCCTCATCTCAGTTTCAAATTTGACGCTTTTATTCTGAGACTATGCCCTCTGGCCCTAGACTGTCCCATGCATCCCCTGAACATTTACCCTGTCAAGCCCCTTTAGAATCCTATATGTTTCAACAGATCTCATTCACTTCTCATTCTTCTAAACTCCAATGAGCAGAGTCCCAAATTGTTTGGCTTTTGTTCATGAGAAACTCCCTCCATGCCCGGAATCGTGCTGATGAACCTAGAAGGGTGCTGTAAAAAGGTAGGCTTCAGATTTCTGGGGTATTGGTGCTGTTTTCAAGAAGATGGAACCTCATAAACCAGACAGTCTACACCTGACCAGAACAGTATACATATTTTTGAAGGTGGATTTCCTAACTCCTAAACTGATGTTGTTGCCATGAGATTCCCTCTAAATCTAGTGGAGAGGGCTTAAACTAAATTGGCAAGGGAATAGGAATATGAGGGCAAATTCAGCGCTTGGAACTGTAGGCAGAAGCTTAACAAATGACTCTGAAAGAAAGGAAGCAGAGGTTAAAAAACATACATCGCAGAAAATAAGCAGCAGTAAAATGTAAATATGTCAACACAAGGAGCATAGAGAACAAAGCGATGAGCTGAGGGAGCAGATAAACACATGATAGCACATCATTGCTATAAAGAAATTTGGCTGAGAAAGGTGCATGAATAGCAGTTAAACATCCTAGATATATCCAGGCAGGATAGAGAAGGGAAGAAAAAAGGTAGAGGTGTAACATTATTGGTTAAAGGATCAATCGTGGTTGTAAGGAGGTAAAATATCCTGAAATTAAGCAACAAATCAGGCCATATATGTTGAGCTCAGAAGCAAAAAAAAAAGAGGTAGCCACGTTGTTCACTGTGTGCTATAAACCCTCAAGAAGTGGGAAAGAGTTAGAGGAGCAAATATGTAGGCAAATATTTGAGTCAAAAAACAACAGTACGATAATTGTTGGGGACTTCAATTACACAAATATTAACTAGGGTACAAACAGTGTGAAAGGCACAGTGGGCACAATATTCTTGAATTAGGTATTCTAGAGAACTTTATCAGCCAGCATGTATTAAGCCCAATGAGAGAGAGAGAAATTATAGGCTTATCCTTAGGAAATGAACGTGGACAAGGTAGATGAAATACCAGTGGGTGATTATTTTAGAGATAGCAATCATAACAAAGCTAGATCTGACATCTTCATGAAAAGGAATAAAGACAGAACAAGTCTAAGAGGAGTAAAACCATCATACTGAAAACATCTTTCTCCACAAATTTAATCAGATCTGCTGAATTTCTGTAGCAATTTCTGTTTTCATTTTAGTAAAAGTTCCAAACTGAGAAAGGCAAACTACAAAGCTGAGAGATCGTCCGGTAAAAGTGAATTAATTACAGCCACTTGATGAGAAGTCAGTGGCAAATCAGTGGAAGGCATTCTAAAGCGAGATTGTATGGGCAAGGTGTAAACATATCTACACAAAGCAGAAGGATGGCAGTGCCAAATTTTCCGGTCACCAAGAAGCATACAGGGTAAAAATACAGCTTATGACAATCACAGAAAAGTAATACTTTAGAAAGATCAGAGAAAGTACAGGGGTGAAGTGAAAAAGGAAATTAGGATAGCAAAGAGAGGAAGTGAAAAATTATTAGCTGATAAAATTAAAGAAAATGCAAAGATGCTTTATCAGTACATTAAGAGCAAGAAGAAGGAAGATATTAGGTCTGTCAGAGATGTATGCGGTAACTTGTGCATAGATGCAGAAGATAAGATCAGGTTAAGTATTTGGTCCCTGCCTTCAGAAAGGAGAAGGCCCTCTTTGCAGGTAGAAAGAATGCCTATGTGCACTGAACCGTTTACAACTCAACAAAATAAGTGACTGCCATTCTCCAGTTTATTTCTCAGAGCAATGCCATGACCAACCAGAAACAACCTCCCTGCTTTAAAATTTAAACAAGGCTTGGCAACTTCTTATCGTCCAACTCATTTTTATTCATTCATAGGATGCAGGCTTTGCTGGCTGGACCAACATTTATTGCCCGTAACTAACTGCCCTTGAGGAGGTGGTGGTGAGGTCTCTTCTTGAACCACTGCAGTCCATTTGCTCTAGGTAGACCCATACTGATAGAATTGGTGCATTCTCCATTCTCCATGCCTCTACCAATCTGAGTCCATAAGCCAATCGATCAGCACTCACATACAGTACTAAATGTGATTTTCCCTTTGCTTGATATTTCTTGTAAATTGTGCTGCTGAATGCAAGAGGAGAAGCTGTAACAAATGTGTCTTTTTCAGCCTGATGTTTCTCAGAAAAATGATATCCATAACTACAAACCAATGGATAAGTGGGTTATACAGGTAATGCTAGCACCTGGATAAACTACTGCCCAAGAACAGTTTATGATTCTTTTATGGATTTATGATTTATTTATTGTCTCATTTATGACCCAATTCTTTGATATTGCACTCACTGTGAAATATTTTAAATCAGGGGAGGCCAATTACTCTCTTATGGAGATGCCACAGCAGTGCCATAAAATTCAGTGACATGTATAATGGACATTCATCTGCCTAAACAATCGTTTATCAGGCTGTTTCCTGGGATAGTAGGGCTGATGTATAAAGAGAGACTGGATTGATTAGGACTATAGTCTCTTAAGTTTCAAAGAATAAGGAGGGATCTCAAAGAAATGTATAAAATTCAAACGGGAATAGATTGGGTAAACTCAGAAAGGATGTTCCGAATGAACCAGGGAGTTCAGAATCAGGGGTCACAGCTTAAAGATATGGGGTAGGATTGAGATGATGAAATGTTTCTTCACCCAGAGAGTGGTGAACCTGTGGAATTCTTTGCCACAGAAAGTAGTTGAGGCCAAAACATTGAATATTTTCAAGAAGAAATTAGACATAGTTCTTAGGGCTAAATGGATTAAAGGGTATGGGGAGAAAGTTGGAATGGGGTACTGAGTTGGATGATCAGGAATGGCCATATTGAATGGTGGAGTAGGTTTGAAAGGCCAAATAGCCTACTCCTGCTCCTATTTTCTCTTTTTTCTCCTTTTCATTATGTGAGAACTAAATTACTCTTCTGTGAAATATAGCCTTCATGCCTTTCTTTTCATCCAAATGAAAACTTTTGTATCCGTCCTTTTCTTGATTACAGATAAGTTGTTACTGTATGCAAATCTGTTTATATTTGTTTATTCTTCTGACAATTCCTTGTTTAAGTTATCCCTATGTTCACTGCATCCGTTGGAATGATTATTTTCTGTAGTTTTCACATTTACAGTTTACATTCCTCTGCATAAGGAATTTTTTCCCACCTGTTGTAACCAAGGCATTCAAAAAAGGGAATTGGATCATGAATTAAAAAGGGGAAAAAAATGCAGGTCTAAGAGGAAAAGATGGGGAAATGGCAGTGAGTTGCACTAGCGCAGAGCTAGCACAGATGTGAAGGACCAAATGGTCTACCTCTGTGCTATAACAATTCTATGACTCTATAATTTTATTTCCATTGGCCAATGTGACGCAACCAGATTGCTTGGTATATTCCGTTTAGGCAAAGTCTTTTTTTGAAACTTGTGCGGAGGTAAACAAGGACAGTGACAAGTCTGAAATATCCCACGTCGTTATCTAGCTTTGCTTTGTGGAAGGTGTAACTGTTTACAAAGCATTTAAAGAGCTAAACTCGAACACATGGGATTTACGCAAATCTTCAAAACTTTCCTTATCTTCCCAAGAGTTCAGTTGAACATATTTGAGCTGTCATTTTCTTTAAAAATCATTCACTTATGATCAAAATTTGATTTAAAAAAGGACAAAATACAACTACTTGTCCAAGTACTTAGTTCCTCGGGACCAGGGACGATTCCAGTGTTTAGTTTAACAGAGTTTTAACTCGAGCGAAAGTTGGCTTCCTTTTTTTTTCTGGTTAACTTTTCTTCCATTCCGCCCTCATCCTGGAAGGTTTTGATCTCCCCAGTTAAACCAGGCAGCTTCCAGAGCTACATGGAATACAGATCGCAAGGCATCGTTCAATTTCATGGAACACCTTACCTTAATCAGGTTATGTGCCACTGTGTAGGGTACACGTGGGGCTCCGTTGATACCAGGAGCAAGCTTTCCCGTGCTATACCCATGCCAAGCCAGGGCGTAAGGGTTGTCGATAGTGATCCAGTACTTCACCCGGTGCCCGAAAGCCTCGAAACAAAACCGGGCGTATTCGCTGAAGCGGTCCACCAATGTTTCATTAATCCAACCTCCATACCGGTCCTGGAGAGCCTGGGGCAGATCCCAATGGTGCAAAGTCACTATGGGCTCAACACCTATATCTCGGAGTCTCTGAATGAAGTGGGAATAAAACCTGAGCCCAACTTCATTGCGGCTTGAGAGTAGACCGTCTGGGAAGATCCTGGTCCAGGCGATGGAGAAGCGGTAATGTGTGACACCCAAAGTTTGGATGGCGGAAATGTCCCTCTCTATATTATTGTAACTGTCACTGGCCACATCCCCGTTGGCACTGAGCTGCTTGTGGGTGAAGGTGTCCCAGACGGACACTCCCTTTCCATCCTGCTGCCAGGCCCCTTCTGTCTGGTAAGCTGATGTGCCCACAGACCACATGAAGCCCTCAGGGAAGGTGGCATGTAGGAACAGGTTGTCCTCCGGATAAGGTAGGCTGGCAAACCTGGCCCAGGTCCCATCTCCTGCCCCATTCAGGGAGACGAGGGTTGGCCAGAGGAGAAGCAGAGAAAACGCTAGTGGCTCCATGCTGCTGCCCGCTGCCTGATAGACATGTCCTGCTCAGTGCAATGGTCTATAGCTGCCTGGCAAAGGGAGGCGATGTGCTCCTTGCTGTGACATACACACATGCCCACATTACACTCGCGCAGGTTTGTCGTTAAGGCTCAGCAGAACATCGGCACCTCCATCCAGGGACATCTATTAATAATTACCCACTGGACTGCTCCTGACCAACAGTCTGGGGCCAGACAGAAAGCGAGACACAGCGAGAGAGAGAGCAGCTAATAATATGCCAAGTGATAACCAGTCACTAAATACCCTGAAGAGTTTGGCTAATTCCAGAGACGCAGCAGTGTACGAGCATCAAAAACTTTTCCCATTTTGTCTTCTTCTTGTTGTCCTCAGGTATATGTTCACAAACCGGAGATTATTCACTGTGGGTAGCGGCTGAGAGTCCGTGTCACCTTCTTCCTGCAATGTCCGTGCGTCATGTAACTTTCCAAAATTCTGACAGAAAGTGATGGGTTTCGGTCAGGCAGAACGGGCTTTAGAGAAAACAAAAACCTGTGACAGATCCCGGCGATCGATCGGGAAATTTTTAGCGGTTGTTTGTGGTGAACGAATTCCCCTTTCCCGCGTCCCGGGCACTGTCCTTTCGATATCCTCCCACGGCCATCTCCACACCACACGCTGTGGCTTGCACAAGTTTTTTTTCTGAATTTTGCGGGATTGGAAACTTTCCCGTCAGTTTTGCAATGTGAAGAAGTGCGTGCGCGCGAACTGTACCGAGTGTTAGCAAGTTCTTCCACCGGGAGTGAGAGAGCGCGGGAGATGGCCACGAAGGACCGCAGCTACTCGTTAATGATTAGTCTGATCCGACCCAGTGCCTTTGCTGACATTTAAAAACCTTCTT